TTGCTTCTTTACCTTAACAGCCCTAGTTTTATTTTCGTGCTCTTTACTTTCTTGCAAGCCTATCCAACAACACCTACAAATTACTTCTAGTTTCATACTTGTTCTAGGTAAAGTGAACGTCAAGCGTGCGTAGAGTTGTATCGGTGGTCGATAGAACTTGAGAGAATATTTGTTCTACCTTTAGCTCCTCGTTGGGTTCGACACTCTTACTTATCGAAAACTGTTGCGATCCCCTATACTTGTGGGTTATCACCTTCCCACATACATTATGGTACACCATGTTGTCTATATCCAGATTATATTGGAGAAATTGATTGTCGACAAGTCATATCCATCCATAATTTCCATGGTTATTCGTTCTTTGGGCGTAGAGGAAGATTCATCTAGACCATGAAGAGATGGAAATAAGATATTGGGACCTAAGGTTCCATATCACAGTGAATGCATTGGATCCACCAAACACAATTGGTTGAGACTAAAGAATATCTTTCGATATCTCCAATGCCTCAAACATCTTGTCCTAACCTTTCATTTCCAGAGAAATATGGATACCAATATCATTGGATACACCGATCAAATCTGTCGTGGTAATCTCACGTCAAATGCCAGGGGGTGGCTTATCATGGATGGGGCCAAGAGGACGTCGTCAGGCTCCAGAAGCGGGAGTGAGCACGATCTCGATCACACACGAGACGTACCCAGGTCCAGGGCTCTCCGGAGATATAACACCCCTAGTCTTGCTCTGCGGGGTCTCCGCATGATGACTATGATCAAATGGTGGCTACAAGATTGCTCCTTGAGCTATGTTGCTAGAGGAGGAAGAAGGGCAGGTGGTGTGTGTGTGGGGGGGGGGGATGAGGGCTAAACCCTTTGCATGGGTGAGCCCTGGGGGTTTTATAGGCCAACCCCCAGGGGTACAATGGTAATACAACCGGGTGTAGGACCCGGACGTCAGTGTCTAGGGTCGTCGGGTTCTCCAACGGCTGCTAGGGCCTGCCTTTGGAGGGGCCCCATCGGCTGCCGAGAATCCGTCCGACAAGTAGGGCCCGCCGCCTGCGGGGCACGCTGATTGCCTTTTGTTGTAGCTTTGTACTTGATGACGGAGGCCGCGTTGTGGATCGCATGGCTACAGTCCCGCGTATGGCGGGTCTAGTGGCCGCTTGGTTAGCGCACACTATAGTCATGCTTCGTCTTGTCGAGGTTGGTGAGTGTGGACTCCGAGGAGAGGGGTGGGCCGGCTGCTGGAGGTCGGCCCGCCCCACGAGGCCGTCTTCTAGGGAGGCGCCGTCTCTTGGGATCTCACAGACAGGTAGGGCCCGCCGACCTGACCGTCGTTTGCTGTAGCATAACCCTCGCTGACGAGGGCCATGTCATGAGTCGCATGGCTACAGTCCTGCGCCTGCCAAGGGGGTGTCCGCTTGGTCAGCTCACACGGTAGCCACGCTCCTCCGGGATTTGGGGGTGAGGCAGGTGGCCCTGTAGCCATGCCCTGTCTTGTCGAAGTGGTTGAGTGCAGACTCTGAGGGAGAGGACAGGCCGGCCCGCTCCCCGAGCCGTCTTCTAAGGATGCTCCGTCTTCTAGGTGTCGGCCGTTTGGTCCTGGCTGCCTTCTTAAAGGGGCACTGTCTTATGGAAGCCTGCCGCTTGTCGCTAGGCTCGAGGGGCTGGGCTAGCCCCGATGTCTTGAAATGATAAGGGGTATGGATGAGGCTACCCATGGTCAATGCCCACGACAAGATCCTTACTTTGTTAGATCGTAGACAAGCTTTGTGTTCCTGTTAGGTGTGGTAGCCATTCCATGAAAGTCTTCGAAATAGACCTCGTGGTAACATCCACCAACCATTATCTCAAAGATAATGTTGCTTGTGTTATCCGGATGCAAACAGGTTATGTAATAAGCAATATCTTTATATTGCATATCTTGCAAGTCGAATCATGTGACTGGTTTGTTCACCAAGTCTTTACCAACTTCTACATTCTAGAAATATGTTCATGGAACTGGTATGTGATGGCTCTGGAATTTGCAAGAATCAGGGGGAGTATCTTCCTGAATTGCTCTTGTTCAAAGCATCATATTATACTGTTTTTTCCTCCATGAGTTTACTTTACAGGTTCTCATAAAGGTTTTTAATGAGGTAATATCAACACACGACCATATGTCATACTTTCTGTTTTCCCCACTAGGGTTTTTAGGAAAGTATATACGACATATTTATTGTTCTCTTAATTCTATAAGTTTTCTCATATTGAGTTAAAAGAGACAGTAATCAGTATATGTTGCGTCTTTTTTCTATTTTCCCATTAGATTTGAAGGAGTTTTAGCAACATATCAAACACATATCTCCTCATATTTTTTTCCACAGGGTTTTTGAGGAGCTTTTCAAGATGATGATGCTATATGGACAAGTGTAGGTTAGGGGGTTGTTAGAGTTAATTAACACGTGTTAATTATGGGGTAAATTTCCCCTTGTTAACTGTCAGGCAGTTAGCACTAATGCTAACCGTCGCATCTGTATGGAACGAACGTATACTCTGGTTGCGTCCCCTAACTTGGATATAAACATCGCTATCAATGAAAGAGAGATACCATTCACTATTATTACATCCGGTTGATTGTCTCGTTTACTTCTACTACTTATAACACAAAGAAGAGGCTGCGCAGTGACGACCGACGAGGATGCCATTCAATTGTGGTAACCCCCTAGAAGCTCAAATGGCAGCGATGGAAGAAGGGCTTCGGCTTTCTCTCCACTGGTCGGGCCTACCGTTGTTTGTTCGGACGGATTGCGTCCAGCCGCCGAAGATGGTGCAATCCAAATACGTGGACAGATTGAGGCACGCGTTTCATACAAATGAGATCATAGGCATTATGACTTTAAAAAGGAACATTAGTCCAACTAAAATAAGTACGCATATGAATGTGGTGAGTCATACCCTTGTTTCTATGGAGATAGCTAGCATTGTCGACGCTGAATGCAATACACATGGTTGATTAAGAGCATCTCTAGCAGCTCCTAGAAAAGCACATCCCGCCACCCCTGAAAACTAGTTTGCGGTCGTGATACTTCAAACCAATTTTCTTTCTCTTCGATAAATTCATGATTTTGATTAACATAATCTTAATACAACGGCAATATAAATCAAACTTGTTAATGTTTAAATATCATACAATACAACAATCATCTCATTTGATACAAATGTTCAAATCTGAATAATTGAAATAATACGAATGGTCCAAAGTGGATAGAATGGTTCAAATCACACGTGAATACAAATAAGGTCAAATGAATAAAATGAAAGTCTACCTCTCATACAGTTGTTGCTGGTGCTCAATGAGATCATCACGGAGCTGGGGTGTGTGTGGTATTGTCCTCAATCTTTCCGTAGGTCTCTAGAAATGCAAGGATCCGATCCGGGTTCCTGGCAGGCTTGACATGGCTACCAATATTGTCATAGAAAAACTCATGTTTATATCCTTCTCATCCTCGATAATCTTGTTGTGTAGCATATCACATGCAGTCATGATATTTGAGAGGAATTTTGTATCCCAGAAGCGAGCAGGACCTCGAACAATGGCAACCCGAGCTTGCAACACACCAAATGCCCTCTCAATATCCTTTCAGCATGCTTCTTGTTCTTGGGCAAAAATAGTTTGCTTCTTACCTTTTGACTTACTAATGGTTTTCACAAATTTTGACCACAAAGGATAGATACCGTCGACAACATAATACTCCATGGTATAGTCATGTTCATTGACGATGTAGTTGCAACCCGGAGCATCTCGAGTAGCAAGCCGAGCAAAAAGACGTGACCTGCAATACATTGATTTCATTGAGAGAACCCGACAAACCAAATAAGCAATGTCAAATCCACAAGTCCAGCGAAGCCACGACTTTCAAGCATAATAGTGGGATCACGACGATGGAAGGTGTACTGCTTGTGGTAAGTCATAGGGCTGTTCTTCCACCCATAATGCATGCAATCGATGCTCCCAAGTATGTCCGACCATCCTCTTGCTTCATTCATAACCATCAACTTCTTTGTGTCCTCCTCATTGGGAGCTCGGAGATACTCGGACAAAAACCCGGATCAAAACCTTGGCAAATACCTGCATGCATTTGAGCATGGTATCTTCTCCAATGTGAAGATACTCATCAGTGTAGTCAGTCGGAATGTCATATGCTATCAGTCTCATTGTCGTCGATATCTTTTGGTACGAACTAAGCACAACCAAACCGGATGCATTCCTTGGGCGAGTGAAAAAAATAGCAGTTTTGCTCACAAGCTTCCACAATGTGAACAAAAAGAGATCTATGCATTAGATAACGCATATGAAAGAGGTGAGTCAGATAGATCGGTACCTCGGTGAAGTAATCTTTCATGAGCATGAAATGGCCGAGTGCTTGATTGCGCAGAATGCAAAGACGACCAACCGTCGATCCTCAACGTTTTCTCGTCTTGCCTGCCTCCAATTCATCGATGAGATGTAACAAGACGAGGTGCTCGACATTGCCAATTTTTTTCTCTATGTCGGAATCATCGGACTCCGAAGCGATGACTCTTAGGTTTGGTTTAGTTCTTGCACAAAAGGCAGAATGCAACCGTCTTTTTATTAACTATGATAATATGGAAGTTATTGACACAAAATGAAGGACAATCTGCAAGAGTTGTGGCGGCAGTCTTCGATGATTACTATTTCATGGCATGTGATTTTTCTTTGACTAGATTCGAACATTGGCTCATAAGGTTGCTGACGAACTTGCTAGGCTAGCGAAATTTTCTGTAACTAGAGATTGGTTTGAAGAGCCTACAGAATATTGTACCTCTTCTTACATAGGTGTAATCATTATTTCCAATTAATAAAGCAGATGTTTTTTTTCAAAAAAAAAGAAAACCCGCGCTGCTGTCCACACAATCACACAAACCACCACCATATCCACCTCACCTGGCCCCGCCGTCGCCATGCCCGACTCGGCCTCGCCGCCGCCGCCGCGCCAACGATGCTCCCCTCCCTCGCCGCCACGCCGCTTCCCAACACCTCCACTCACCGGAGCCCCTCATCCTCATCCTCCTCCTCCTCCGTCCAGCTCCTCCGCTCGCTCGCGCGCTCCCGCCGCGCGGACCTCGCCCACCGCGCGCTCCTCCTCTTCCGCTCCCTCCACGCCTCCCCGTCCCCGCCGCCCCCGCACTTCTCCCTCCCGGCGGCGCTCTCCGCCGCCTCCTTCCTCTCCGCGCTCCCCGAGGGCCGCCAGCTCCACGCGCTAGCGGCCAAGCTCGCGCTCGCCCCAGCCCACACCGTCGTCGCCAACTCCCTCCTCCACCTCTACGCTTCCTGCGGCCTCCCCGACGCCGCGCTCGCGCTCTTCCGGCTCATCCCCGCCAAGTCCCTCGTCTCCTGGAACACCGCCATCGACGCGCTCGCCAGCAACGGCGACCACCTCGGCGCGCTCGACCTCTTCCGGGAGATGCAGCGGGACACGACCCTCGCGCCCGACGCCTACACCGTGCAGAGCGTCCTCGGCGCGTGCGCCGGCGCGGGCGCGCTCTCGCTCGGTGTCTACGCGCACGCGCTGCTGCTGCGCGAGCTCGGGGGCCACGGCGACGTGTCCCGCGACGTGCTCATCAACAACTCGCTCGTCGACCTTTACGGCAAGTGCGGAGCCGTCGAGCTCGCGCGGCAGGTGTTCGACCGGATGCCCGAGCGGGACATCACGTCGTGGAACGTGGCGATCCTCACGCTCGCCAACCACGGATGCGTGCGTGAGTCCGTGGAGCTGTTTGATCGGATGACGCGGGTGGAGAATGTTGTGCCGAACGCAATCACGTTCGTCGCTGTTCTTAGCGCGTGCAACCATGGCGGGATGGTGGAGGAAGGCAGAAGATACTTCCAGATGATGGTCAGCGAGTACAGGATCAAGCCGAGGATCGAGCACTACGGGTGCATGGTGGACATATTGGCACGAGCTGGCTTCATCGGAGAGGCCCTGGATGTCGTGTCTGGCATGAACTGCCGGCCTGATGCCATCATCTGGAGGAGCCTTCTAGACGCATGCTCCAGGCAGAACGCCGGGGTAGAGCTTAGCGAGGCCATGGCCAAGCTGGCACTCGATGTTCCGGATGATGCTGTCAGTGGTGTCTACGTCCTGCTCTCGAGGGTCTACGCATTCGCACAGAAGTGGAACGATGTGGGCATGGTCCGGCGGTTGATGAGCGACGAGGGTCTCAAAAAGGAGCCAGGGTTCAGCTCCATTGAAATGGATGGCCTGGTTCATCAGTTTGTCGCAGGCGACACGTCACACCCTCGGTCGGAGGAGATATACGCGAAGCTGGATGAGATCCAGCAGAGGCTTGCGTCCTCTGGATACAAGCCAGACTTATCAGAGGCTCGTATGGTTGCTGGCATGGACCATACCAAGGGCGCCGCCCTCCGCTTGCACAGTGAGCGGCTAGCCATATCGTTTGGTTTACTCAAGGCGACACCCGGTGCACCTATTCGGATCCTGAAGAACCTGAGGGTGTGCAAAGACTGCCATACTATCAGCAAGCTCATATCAGAGCTCTATGGTGTTGAGATCATTGTTAGGGACCGGATTCGGTTTCACCATTTCAAGGATGGAGCATGTTCCTGCAAAGACTACTGGTGATACTTGAGCCAAAGAGACTGCGCTGCTGGCGTTTTGTTGAGAGTGCCCTAGCAAAACGTAAAATGCATCTCTGCAGGCGTTCAAGACACGAAATGAAAGAGGGGGTATACTGAAGCATGTATCTTCTTCATTGTTGTAGGTTGTCCAGATCGAAATTAGCTGATTGGTCAGATAAACAGGATGTTATTAGATACATGTTCTACTTCTCAGTTTTCAATTTCACTCAAACACTATTAAGGTAGATACTGTAATGACAGTTACATTGAGCTCACGAGAAATACGAGGTCGGCCAGTCCGTTGCTTCTGCACGAATTGAATTTGAGTAATTCTTAAGCCCACTTGTGTTGAGCTGAAGTTCTCACTTCATATATCTCAGACACAAAGTCGATTTTATCAGAGATGAACCTGCTGGAAACTACAAGGGGGTAAGTAATCCCACCATTTCTTTTTACCTGTTGAAAGATTGAGAATATAATGGTAGCTTTGGCTGATGAAACAGAGTGGCACTCGTCAGTTGTGTCATAAAATGCCGCGCAAGATAAAACATTTGTTGTAAGAATTGCTCTGAGTATGAATTGCGTGAACATGTATTAGCTCTGACTTTGGGAAATATTCTCTAAACTGGCATCTGGTTTCTTTTGTAGGACTTCCTGCCTGACAATATTCTTCTAGAGGGGTTCCTATGTGCTATCAAGATGGCAGATTATAGCTCTATATGAACTTACAGGCATATTTTAAATATAAGAACTACATTAATGGTGTGCCTTTTAAAAGTTTATGTTTCTATGCAATATAGTTTGGTAACCTTATCAATTTCACTCAGATGATTTTTCCCCAGATTTCATTCTCTTTCATATCTTGAACTTATAAATATTTTCGTCCTTTTTTCATGTGCAAAAAGTTTAGTGCACTCTTACTCTGCTTAGTTATGGATACTACAGTAAATCTTGATCTAACTCAATGCACCTCAAAGAGAGTACAAAATGCACCTTCCATCCTTATGATTGTTCTATTATGATAGCACGCGACTCAATTGTTGCCTAAATTGAGCCTCAATTAGTCTTCTCATTTTATAAAAGGATGTCAAGAGACATTTCATATTATTTATACGTTCTAGGAGGAAATCTATATTATACACAAAGTAATGGAGGGGGTGACCCCTTCCACTGTATAATTTTCTGACATGAAAATGCTATATGCCATTAATTCAGGAGTATATCTAATAAATGATCTCACAAAATGTGTCAACTTCTATACTGGGTCTAACAGTTCCATCTCACATTTCTCTTTTGAGTTTATTAAGGGCTTTCAGCTATAGCTATACACCTTCTTGAGAATAGTAACCTCATGGTACTATGTTTGATTGCTCACACATCTATATTTTTTGCTTCATAAAATAGTTTCCGTTGAATTTTATTATCAAACAGTATTGGTCTGGCCTTTTGAGCATGTCAGGGATGCCAAATATTGATCCAATTCCCTTTTTCTTGAGTACTATCTCACTCCGAAAATTTACTATTGAAAACAATAGAATTTATTATGTCATACTTATGCATCTACGTACAAGTGCTTCATGTTACTTTGCATTTCCAGGGACCCATCTTACAACTATCTGTCAGAAACAACACCTGGCTCTTAATCAACTCCCATGACTTACATTTTTGTTGGTGTCCTTCCTGCTCTGACATTGTTTTTCGAGACTGCAGCAGAGAGCCCCTTGAATCATAAGTATCTCCTTCTGCCGTGTTAGTTTGCCAAGCAACTACACTATGGGTCTGGTAGATAACTCCCGACAGGCTGATGACTCTTTAAGGTATGCCCTTTTTCATGTATACCTTCTATACAACATGACTGTTGTTTTGGTGTTTCATTGAGGCTATTGATGGCAGTAAATATTTCGTCATTTTTGTTTCATGTTTATATGGAGCCCTAACTGAAGGCGGGTTGTATGGTAAGATAAAACAAAAATATACTATGTGGGCAAGCGAAGTATACGCAAAGCATAATTTACACTCATTTCGGAAGTAAATTGAGAATAGTAAAGGCAAAAATTAAAGAAGAAAGGATCCAGCGACATATGTGAAATTATGGTAGCTATTTTGATAGTAAACTATATTGTTCTGGTTTAGAGACAAATGCCAACTTCAGTTCCATGGGATGACTCTTCTCAACAGTCAATCAATGTCAATTATGAGGAGTTTAAAAATCCTTAAACAAGGGTATTAGGAAAGGAAAGGGTTACAGTTGCCTTTTTTTTGTAGTTCGTTGGATGCGTAAACTTGTGCAAGATGGCAGAAAGTCAGAATCTAAAACAACATCTGTAAAATTTAGTACTAGTAAAGAAAAATATTACAGTTGCTCACAGTCGAAGCATGGATTGTGGTGGTTACAGATAAGGATCAGAGCGACATTCCGCTAAGGCCCGCTAAAGCGACATGCTAGAACAAATTTGACTAACCCGTGAAACTTAAGGTAGGACTTAATTATCTGAGTTATGAATACGAAGCGGGCATTAGCTTAAGTTCATGATCTCTGCCTATGTATGCACTAGAACAAGATAGGAAGAGAACCCATTGCTCTACCACTCCCCACAATCTCCGAGTCAAATGATCCTAAAGCTGCCTAATGGGGATTGCTTGAGGCAACCACCAAATAATAAAGCTTGCTGCTCAGAGTTTCAAAGCTTGCCACATGTCAGTCTTCTCCTTCGCACCACATGTCAGTCTTCTCCTTCGCACCGCTTGACCGAATCTCGCGTTAATGGAACTGGTGCGCCGCTTTCTTGTTCCTCCAAATCAAAGCTTGCTGCATTTGCTTCAATGCCTCCTTGCTTGCTGAGAGCTACTTGCTCTATCCTCTTCCCCCATAGAACATTGTACAGGCCACCAACCATCAGCGCGCCACTTATTACACTGTTCATCAGAAGAGAAATTTCAAGAAGATAAAAATTGTTGTAGGTCTTCTGTCTACCGAGCAAACGTTAAGACAATGCACCTTCCAAGGGTGACTGCTTCTCCGATGAGGAGTGACAGAACGATGGTGATAACAAAAGTTAGGGGCACTGTCATGGCCAGGAATACCGGGCCGGACTTGTCAATCACCCAGATCAGCAGGTAACCTGAAAATGCGGAAACAACTACTCCCTGCAACGTAAAGCAATTTCAGGGGTTAGGATTTTAAACACGATCTTCCGATCAATTGATCGATGCTTTTGCTTCTGTTGAGGGGATTCTTGTACTTACACAATAGACGATTGCGACAAGACCTACATCCAGCCTCAGCTTCCATCTTGAAAAATCTCGCTCCATCACAAGAGCCATGAAAAAAGATTGAACGGTCGCAAAGACAATTTGCAGGGTCGTGTTAAGCAGCATGGACGGGTACTCCCCCAGCAAAGGGCCCTAGAAAGCA